TCACAGTCACGGCTAGTATAAAGCCGGTTTAGATAGCCGGAATGAAGATCTTGGGCACTCAGAGCAGCATATGTCTCCAGTTCAACATCCCATTTTTCTTTATTCAGAGCGGAAAAATCCTCTTTTATGGTATGCTTGGTTAAGGTGACAGGATTCCCGGGTTCAAAGCGGCCTACACCGGTAATCACAACATCATCATCTTTGGACTCGCCGGTTTGTGTTAGTGTGATCGGTTTGTCAGCAGGACTGTGGGATTTCTCAATCCGGACGGAGCTAACAGGCGGGTCAGCAGAGACTGAAGTATTAATAGGCCTCTCTTAGGGAATAGCATCGTCTTGTAAAGGAGGATCATTGGGAATATCCTCAGGAGAAAATGCTTCAAGATCTGGCGTTTTGTCATGTTCTGGGGCTACATCTTCTTCAGCCGCTTTATCCAGGCGGGCTTTCTTGCTCGGTTTAGGTTTGGCCCTGAAAGAAAATCAAAGAGTCAAGGAAAAGCATAAGCCATTACATAGTGTACTGGAAGCATATGTTCAGCTTAGCTTACCCAAGAACCGTTTTTAACGGTGGCAGCTGAGTGGCCGACGATTCACCAGAAGATGAATGAGAAGTAACCTCATAATCGGAGTCGGATGGGTTAAGAGGTTGACGGAAGAAACCCGCTTTAGGATGTAAATCAACAAAAAGGTCAGAGACCTCGGAGCGGCGTTTTCGAACCGGACTGTTTGGTAAACCGGTGGAGGTAACTACCTGGCCACTATGCCGGGTTGTGCGGCGAGCTTCATGTTGCTGAGTCTTCATAAGAAATTTAGGATCCAAATAAGCAAGAAGATGAGAAAATTTAACTTTCCGGTTTGCCTGTCGAAATTTTGGCAAAGGCAAGATTTCTGAATCGGAAGAGAGAATAGTTACCTCAACGAATTCCGCATTGCTGGCTTCAGCATCGTCCTGACAAGCATCATCATCAATAAGGCGTGTAAAAAATAAGCCAAGCGAGTCAAGTTCTACCTCAAGGTCCGGGTTACCCACATCGTCATCAATAGCTGGATCAGATGAAGCGGTGGTTTTTCTCTTGTGAGCTGGCTTCTTGATAACCTTGGTCTTGGGCCGGATTGGCCGCCCTGTTTTCTCCGTTTTGTCTTGAGAAAGCTTCTTGCTCCAAAACGGATTATCGCCCTGGATCAGCAGTAATTAAATGTCAAACAGATAAAGCAGTAACCGGTTCAACAATAGAGCAATTAAAATCTTACCGCTGGCGGTTTGTTGGTGGTGCAGTAAGGAGGCAGACCGGTTTGAGCACAGAGGTGCTCCGGTTCATTTAGCATCTTTTTTACAGATTCTGTGACTTCATCATCGGGGAGTTGGATTTTAGTGTGTCGGAGTGGGTCATCGACACTATCAGTATACTTGCACATCAAACTGGAGCCCGGCTCAGAGGCAGTATGCTCCATGATATCCAACAGCGTGCAAGATCTATTCCCGTTAAGCCGTTGGCCATAAAAGCTCGGAGCTTGGACAGTTGCGGAGCGTATTTAATTCTTTCCTTGGCGCTTAGTCTTTGTGGAAAAGGGTGCGTGTTGCTGAGCCGTTCCGGACGGAAGCCTGGCAAGGGATTTTCATTGTCAGGGGAGGTATCCTTGCAATAAAACCAAGTTGCATTCCACTCCTTGGGGTGAGTATGGAGTTTGACGTGGGGATAAGTGATCTCCTTCCTCTTCTGAATGGCCATACCGCCCAATTCAGTGTTGGGGCCATCGGTGAATTCAGTGCGACGGTTTAAATGGAAGAGGTCTCTAAACAACTCAACTGAAGGCTCCTCTTGAAAGTATACCTCAGAGAGCACTTGAAAGTGGCATAGATTGGTAACAGAGTTGGGGCCAATATCCTGTGGACGGACCTGAAAATTGGCTACACATCCCGGTAAAATTTAGAGCCGGGCGGTTTGAAGCCCCGGGCCAAGTGATCTGCGAAGACCACAACCTCTCCTTCCTGGGGGGTGGGAGGACATTCATTTCCAGGAACCCTCCAGTGGATCGTATCTTTACTGTCTAAAGCGCCGATCAAGACTAGATCGTCCAACTGTGATTCCGTGACGCGAGAAGGAACCCAATTGCACTCATACACTTGTTTGGCCATGGCGAGATCTACAAGAAATAGGTGATCCGGTTCAAGAACACGCTGGGTAGAAGAAGGTGTTGATCTAAACTACGATAAACCGGAGGCAGTACCTATAAACCGGTCTTCCACAATGCGGCATCATGTGGATTCTGGCGGTTCAACCAGGGGACTAATGGTATATACCGGTTTAGTAACTTTTTTCTATGATAAGTTAAACCGCATGACCTAAGCATTGGAAGAAATTGAAGCTATGGATAACTAGGTATGCAGAAATAAGTTTCACATGATCTTATCACAGCCGCGGATCTACCGCGAGCTCACAAAAACAGAAAATATTCCGAAGAGTAAGGCAGAAACAGAAGTGAACCATTGAGCGGGTATGTGCGAGAGATATATGGACTTAGATGAGAAACTACAGGTGGATGCTTAAAGACTACTACTAAACGCAGCAGGGATTCACAGATTCATTCAAGGTCAGAAAACAGGTATGAGCATGCGACGAACACAGCATGAACATGGAACCCTAAGAACAGATCTAGGTCAAGAAGAGGAGAAAGCTTACCGGGAACGGAGAAGATGCGGAAAGATGCCGCAATGCTCTGGTACGTTCAGGTTGATGCAGCGGCCCAAGACGAGGCAGAGGTCGACGGCGGTGGCGGAGCTCCAAGGCTGGCGACGCGAGGAAGACGAAGAAGAAGGGATGAAGGGAAAGGGAAAGAAATGACCCTTCGGTCTTATTTATAAGGCAACAGAGCTAGGTCAAGCGCGCGGATCCAGGAGCTATTGTTAAAAGAGGGCGTTATAAATGATAAAATTTCATGATGACGTCATGCCGGCTTACAGCAACCAGAAATGATGACGACACGGCGGTTTACCAATTACCCGAAGATGTCCAAGACACCAGATTTTGTGAGGGATTGACATGAACCAGTTCAAATCAATCTGGGGCCTAATGTTGGGGATATTACCACTAGGCGTGAACCGGCCTGCTTGGGTCGGGATAACTTCATTAGTGGTATGAACAGATGAAGGCCCAAGGCCTGTAGCCGGTTTAGAACCTGTAGCCGTAAACCGGCCTGATGTGTAACTTGTATTGTAATTTAGGAACAGAGAGATACCAACCGGGATACGAGTATGGACCGGTTGGGACTCTATGGACCGACGGGCGCCACCCGTGTATATAAGGGGACGACCCGGCGGCGGTTCAGAGGGAGAACGACAACTCGAGTCTAGGCGAAGCTTGTTTGCTCCCTAACCATCGAAACCACATCAATTCCATCGCAACTAGACGTAGGCTTTTACCTTCATTGAAGGGGCCGAACTAGTATAAAACCCTTGTGTCTTTGTGTCCGCTTTAACCCCTTCAAGTAAACTCGTAGCGATGGCTCCACGACTAAGTCCTTTCGCTAGGACATCTGCCGTGACAAATCCACGACAACCGGGACAGCAGAGACTCGACGTGGTAATAGCGGCGAGGCATGCTTATGCATTGGGCATGGAGACGGGCCAGGGCTCTGGTGGTCATACATGTGGTGAGACAACTACGAATTTGACTTGGGATGACTACAAGAAATGGTGAAATTCCTTCAAGTTTCAGACAGACGGTCAAGAAAAGAGCGGTGATGTTGAGTTCAGTGGAACTTAATTTCGCTTGAGCTTTGACTATGGTCAAGAAAATAAGGGACTACAAGTTGCAGGTGGACTCATATGGAGTCTTTGGAGTAACAACGGTGCTCATGGGAAAATGTCAAGTCCAATGTACATGAAAGTTTGACACATAGACGAATTCAAGATGGTGAAGAATATTCGCCAAGGTGGAGTTTGTTAGAGTTGTTTCAAATATTGTGTACAAGGTAGGTTACAATTGGACTCTGAGTAGTATTGTGTTTAGATAGGATATGGAGTCGTGTCCTAGTAAGACACTTGTATCCTAGGCCTCTCATATATAGCGGGGGTAGACGCACGATGTAACCTATGCCAACATAATGGCCCAGGAACGCAGGGGAAGCCGGCGGCATGTGCCGACGTCCAGGGCGACCGGGTGCGGTATTGTAGCGGTGTCATGGGGAGGAGCGCCCATAGTTAGGCTCCGGGGATGTAGCCATATCGGTGAACCTCGTTAACAAATCTCGGTGCCGTGCTTGTGTGATTGCTTGGTCCTCGGTAGATCAACGGTATGCCTCGAATTTATTCTAACATAGGGAGAGAGAGAGAGACTTCATGTGCTGCTGCTGTGTAGTGTTCTATGCTATCCTCTGTGTTCTACATGGGGCAACTTTGTACAGGGGTGATTCATAAAATGGCATTGATATTTGGAGCAATTTTGCTTGTTTTGCTTTGTACTCATGCCGCTATGCTTTGTGTGTTGCTGCCTGTTGTACAGAGAGAAGAGATTAATTGGTAGCTACTCCCTCCTTCCCATAATAGCATGAGACGAAGGGAGTAGAATTTAATTGTTGTTTGTGCAGTTTTCAAGGACTAAAATTGATGGGCATGAGGTGTTTTTTTTTACCGTTGCAGCGCATAAGCATATTTCATATGTTATTCTAATGTAACCAGTCTGCTATTCCCTTCCTACCCGCAAAAAAAAGTCTACTACTCCCATCAGCGCGCAATGGTCAAAGTTTAAAGAACAAAAAAGAACACCGTAAAAAATTACTAGTAGGAGTACGTACGTACTACATTTAGTTGCAGAGGATGCATGAAGCACTCCAACTAATCAAAAGAAGAAGAATCATAAGAAGAAGAAAAGGTGTCCGGTCCGCCTCTAAACATTACGAACTATGGCGTCGTAGTTTTAGTTGATGCAACAGGATATGGGACGCAAAACAAGTGCAACGAACACCGTTGGAGGTGATCCGATCCGCCTCTAGCGAGCTTAGCTAGTAGAGGTTGATGGAGGAGACGGCGATGTAAAGCTCATCGTCCTCCATGGCCAGCGCGCCTTGCATTGCCGGCCACCACTCCGGCATGTTGCTGCTGCTGCTGCTGGCAGCGGCGTCCACGGCACCCACGACAACGTTGGCTTCGCTCATCATCGAGGACACCTCCGCCGCCGTGAACTCCGGCTGATCTGCGACTGCATCATCGTCGACGTTGCGGGCGAAGCGGCCCTTCACCCTCGGCCGGCTGTCCGCGAGCGTCTTCCGGCAAGCGTACTGAAGAAGATGCATGGTCAAAACACGTGAAGATGCAAAATCGAGCAAGTATGGTGCGAGCGAGGAAGGAGACGTACTGTGATCTTCTTTTGGAAGTTGCGCTGGTTGCGCTTGCTCCTGTACTTCTCGATGCGCTCCCGCCGCTCGTCCGTGCTGTACCTCCCAGCCGCTGCTGCTGCCGGCGGCGGCGCCCCGAGGTCTCCCGTGCTCAGCACATGGCGGAACGGCGGCGCCTGACCCTGCTGCTGCTGGGAGTAGTTGTAGTAGCAGTGCTGCTCTGCTTGCAACAGATCACCGTAGCTCGACGCCGACGGTTGGGAGGGGAGGAAGCCATTGCTTCCCTGACAAGTATAGGAAGAAGAAGAAAAAGAGGAGTGATGATGATACATCACCTAGTGCGCACGCGTGTGTATGTGTGTGCGTAGGAGCGAGTGATGAATGATTGACGTGTGTGTCAGCGGCCATGTATTTATACGCGCCGGCCAAGCAAGTCAACTCTCGCCTCAAATCGGATTCACGATGACACGAGACATCAACTCGAGATTTCCCATGACGGCAGGGAAGCCGTCCATGGTAAAAGCTAGCATTACATTGCTGATGGCACTAACAAGGTCATCTGAGCCACATGCTCAATCAAACAGTAGCCAGAGAAACTGCAGAATGCCAACCCAAAGTCCATTCTACATGACTCCAACCATAAAGGGAAGTCATAGCACAAATCTATCTCGCTGGTGCCATCTTCCTAGCTAGTACTTGCAGACGCACTGTTAAAACTCTACCATCATTCGCAGCACGACCAAACCTCGCAAATGAGTGTCATCCACCATTGCCACAAACTACAACAGAAAAACAAGCTGGCAAGCATATATGATTTCTCCGTGTTATGAACAGGGCACGGAGGATGAGAATCTCAATCGATCATGAATGCACAGCACAAATGGAAAATATTTATGTAGTGATAATAGTAAAATAAGCTGGCAACCACAGCTGCATAGGAATGGGTGTTAAGACAATTCAAGGAGACATGAGCAAGTTGGGAAATCTCCCACTTTTCCACCGGAATCCTTAAACCATGCCCCAGCACTCCAGGAGATGTGCCTTTTCTCAGCACCTCTACAGGCACTATGCTCAACTTGCAACTGACTACACATCAACAACAGGTCCTACCACTTTGTTCCATGAAGCAGGGTCAGGAGTATCGGTAAGTATGTATTTTGGCTGATTCCAAGCTAATCATTTCTTAGTTGCGACAATGGGGAGCATGAACACAAGGGCAAAGAGATGAAACTAATCATCACATTTAAATTAAAAAGGGGAAAACAAAGATGCACAGGAACTTCCCACGAATGGTGATTAGAAGCTAAAAATGCAAGTCCGAAAGACAGCACCTGATGTGACTTCGTCCACTACTATGATTACCTTCAAAAGTGACGTCTCATAAGATTTCGGTTGGGAAGAATGATATCACCTTTGAACATTGCAGCCTATTAGATAGAGCCCCACAAGAATCTGTGTTGGTTCAAGCCTCTATTGGACACAAAATATGCTGCTATGGACCCAGGACCCTGTTTTCAGTTGGCAAAATTTGTCGTAAGGTCACTCGAACGTCCTCAACCAATCATACGGCTCCATTTCTCCTAAAGAAAGAGGTTCTAATGAAAATGAATTTTTACCGTACGTAGCCCACTCAGGAATTGTGTATCATGTTGACATAGCCTGACAACGCGAGCTTGCCAACCTTCAAGTGGGCTTAGCCAACCGACAAGATAAAGTCAAAGGGCACCAGGCCATAGCATTGCATATAGATTCATCTGCCTTCGACGTACGCAGCAAAATGTTACGATTGTGTGCTCCCAACAGTTGCCATGATTTCCTTGCAACCTGCAAAGATTTCAACAAGAGTAGCATCACAACCAGAATCATTGACATCTCAGTGCATCGAGAGAAACATCAAGAGGATCACAGGCGGGGCAAGCCTTCACCGAGGCAGTGATGCAGTGCCTGTCAATGGACAAGATAATGAGAATAAGTGGGACGATTAGGATAATGCACAGTGCACATAGATTTTACTTTTCATCAAGTAGGTCGCCTACAAAAAAATAGTCACACCACTACAGCATGAGTGGAGATGCAATAATTGTTTAGTTGATGTGCATAATGAATTTACAGAAATGTACAGCAGATTAGATAGATATGGAATTATACCAAGAATTACTACCTCCGTTCCGAATTATAAGATGTTTTGGATATTTCAATATGGACTACATACGGACTGAAATGAGTGAACAAACACACTTAAAACGCGTCTATATACATTCGATTCAGAAAAAAGTTAGAACGTCTTATAATTTGGAACAGAGGAAGTAGCATTTAAGTGTAAAAAAGGTTTGCAATATGTGTAAATTCGATCCTATGGGACATCTAAGGTACATGATTATTCATCTGTACATGAAGTCAGGTACATTCATCAAGTCACTTCAAATGTCATTAGATTTGCCAGAATGAGACCACATTGATGAAGACTGATAAGACTTCTCTATCTAGTGGCGTGCATGATTTGGAGAAATGATTCTGGTCCTGCCCCCACACCTTCCTTGGGTGCATCTGTGGGCGTGAGGCCTTTTATTGTTGTCATGGTATCTGCAACCTTTTCCACATCAATTCCACTGGAATTACTACTCTAAATTCACACGTCTTTTTCCTTTTGTACTTTGATTTTGAAAAAACATGCTATTCAGTGTTGTCCACAAAATTACAACTATAAATACAGAGTAGAAAGGAGAGAAAAATATGAGATCATTACACATCCGAGTGAATCTATTTCCAAAAAGGCATTTAAGAAGATCGAAGCTGGTTGATCTTAGTATCTTAAATTCATCATCATACTTTGAGCAGCATGGAAGCACGTCTATCTGATATTTTGGACGTCATGCACTCAAGGCTATATATTCGCATCTGAGCCATTTGGACACTATATTTTTTCCATGTGTGATAGCAACATGAAAAAGAGTTGATATACCCTCCAGAAAAATTAAGAAAATTTTCTTAGTTTGCAAAAATCATAATCTGACTATAGGACAATAACCCAAAAGCCTATCGCCACACATCTTCCCTAGAAGTTGCCAACATAGGTTTTACTGCTCTGGTATCCTTATTAGGAGGAAAGCAAGACAACAAAGCCCAGATTCTGGAAATTAGCATATTGGAAGCCATTGGTGATTTACATGCAGGTACATCTATTTCTGTTTCAAAAAGGAAGAACCTGCTCCAATTGAGGCATAATGTGGAATGTTTTGAAGGAAAGGGCTTTTATTTATGCATACACCGAAGTTACTTTGCCGACAATAGGCCATTGCACATGTAGAGCATCATGTCATACAGTTCTATTTAGCAATAGTATCTCTATCAATATAATATACACGAAATCAAGTGACAGCTCTCATCTCATGAGGTTGACAGCACTGGTATATATCATCCTGAAATAACACCTGATACAGGACTCATCATAAACACAGGTTAGCATTATTCGGCACACTTCAAATCGAAAGATACGATAGAAAGATTTGATGAGACCCTTACTTTGCACCTTTCTTCTTGTAAGGCAAAGATTCAAAAAGCACAAAAAAGGAAGATAAGCTGGACTATGCAGAGTTTTTGTCTTTGCTTTTCTGCAAAACCAACAAGACATCAGACTTTGGAAGGTAGGCATAAAATATCATTTTCTGTTGTTATATTTATAATAAACCAAATTTCCATATTTTAAAAGTGTTCCCATTTTTCAGAAAATTACTTATCATAATCTTAATCCAAAGGCATAAAGGAGCATAATGTGTCCCTTCAATTGTCATTTTCTTCTAGAAAGAAGATAATACGGTACATATTGTATCATCTGGGTAATACTTTTTTGACATCGGCACAAGCATGAAAAGGAATTGATGGACCACTATATCGAGCTCAAGGGGTTCTGAAACAGAAAGTACAAATAAAAAAAGAATCGCAGAAAATAGTAATCTGCAAATGTAGTCATGTCGCAAATTCATAACTCGCCTGAGATATCTCAACCTTGCCACCAGCGCAAGAATAACTTCGAGCCGACATTATAATCTGTGCAACATTTTCATGCATAATGTGTTCTGTTTTTGTTTACTAACTTGTTGCAGTACAACGCCCTTTCGTAAATCACTACTCAACAGAAGTGTGAGATTTAATGGCGTGTCATCATCTCTGTAACCTACAGGCACCCATTATGTAGTATCTCGGCAAGATAAAGAATAACATTTTTGGTAAAAAGAAGCATCGTTACCTCAGAGTTTGGGTCTAACATTATCCCTCATAATCTGTGCAATATCGTGTTCTGTTTTGTGTTCGCTAACTTGTTGCTGCAGCAGTGCAGCATCCTTATAAATCACTACTCAACAGACAACAGGTGTGAGATTTAAATATTTAATGGGGTGTCATCATCTCTACAGAGCACTCCAACGATTCTGTAGTACCTCGGCAAGCCTCTGCACCAACTGGACTGTATCAGGCTTGTCTACACCCTTATCCTCGAGGCAAGGATCAGAAACAGAAGGAATTTCATGATCCAGCGACACCTGATCCGCCTTCACAAGAGGTGGAGCCAATGTCATATTTAGTACCCCCGCAAAAAAAATGTCATATTTAGTATAAGACTTAGCATTATCTAGGATGTCAGTAATCTTGATAGGATACTTGTCCTCAGTAGTCAGGACTAGTGTAAGAAATCTCCATACTCTGGGGATGGGAGGACGAGAAGAACATGCTAACTTAAGACCAGAAGATAAATGAGCATGATTCACCTCTCTTAACTTGTACAGACCCTTCTTTAGTTTCAGCTGGGATTTCTTTATCATCGGTGGACTGCTTTGTCTGACCAGCCGAGAGAGGCACAACAGAACCACAAGCCTTTTCATTTAACACTTTCGTGAGACTAAATATGGCTATGGGTAAGCCTGCTAGTTCATTTTTTGGAAGCAGGTCCTGGATTTGTCTCCAAAAGTTCCAGATCTGCTTCAAGATCCAGTCACCAGATCTACACCTTGTTTCATTCAGTTATAGACTTGGTAATAGTCTGTTGGTTCCAATTTGAACAAATGTTTCTTTCTCAGAGCCTTGGAAATCAGTGATCTGAGCAGATGGCACAATAGTGATCATGGATTCATCGTGGAAGCTGCGAGAAGAACAATGATATTCCTAGAACATCTGGTTGAATATGATGCTGGGACCTCTCCGGATAATAACTGTCATGCAGTTTACAGACATGGCAGCTTTGGCTCCCTCTTTAGAAAGGCGAAGCAAATATACACATAAATGGATGGCATCATATGGGACCCTCCAGTTTCATTACCATTGCCAGCAGCACTTGCAA